TTGCCTGCCTGGTAGAGGTGATATACATGGTACAAATTGCCACAAGTCTAGAGGAAAACACAATCAGGCTTGAGAGCAAGGGGACTGGAAACCAATTTAGAGCTGGTTTTTTCCCTTCAATGTCACTCAAGGCAAAGACCTGAGCCAAGAAAACCACCATATTTCCCAATGTAAGGAGGCTGAGGCCACCCAGAAGTCCAGCCTCAGGAGTTTGCACAGTAGTGGAAGGTGGTCACTCCAAAAATTGAGGATCATTTCCAAAGGCAAATGATGGAGAATATATTAAAAAAAAAAACCTGAAAGACCAAAGATGAAGAGAGAAAGTCTAAATAAAAGCCTAACTTACAAGCAGATAAACTAATAGAAAGGATCATAAAAACAGAAGAAAGAATGTACAAAAACTCCAAAGGAAGCTAAAGCACTTTGAATAAATAATATAATACAAAGAAAAATAAACCAATGGTACTCAATGAAACAGAGAATTCTGTAGATTCTCCCCAGGATTTAGGAGATAACAGCAACACATTTCAGAATAGTGTGGCCATGGGCAAATAACTGAACCTCAGGCAACTCTAAGACTTAACTCCTTAGACTGTGAGCTTCTTGAGAGCAGGGCTGCCTTTTGCCTCTTTTTATTTCCCCAGTGCTCAGCATAGTGCCCGGCACATAGTGGGTACTTAATAAATATTGATTGGCTGACTGACATACTAAGTTACAAGCATGATTTGTATTGGTCAAAGGAATTCCCACATGGATGAAGTCACAAATACTTGATGCATTTATTGATTAGATAGAGAGCCCAAGGAGGGCAAACAAGAATATTAAAAGGGCCTGAAGATCATACCATGTGAAGATGAGTTGCAGGAAGAGGAGAGGTTTATCCTGGAGAAAAGAAAACATAGTAGGAGCATGATCAATATCTTCATGCATCTGAGAGCTATCAAATAATAGACCTGATCTGCTTGCCCAGAGGATAGAACTAGGTACAATGAATAGAAACTGCCAAGACACAGATTTTCTGACAATTAGATCTTTCCACAAGTGGAATGGCCTGCCTCGGGATGTAGCATATACGGGTATCCCTTCCACATTGAAGGGGCTAAGGGGCATGTTACCCCTCCTCCCCGAAATCTGGAAAATCTGTGTTAAATGTTTTTGGCCCTCTATACTAGAGAAGAAGTCTGAATTATTATGGTATTACAAGATAAAATATGTTGATCTCATACAATAGTATTAATATATTTTATGCATGCCTGAGTTTCTAAAGCTTTTCTGTGTCATCTGCTGGTTTTTGCATGTCATCTGCAGCTTCCACAAACTCCCCCAAAATTCCCATTTAATTTCTTATGCTGATCACGATATGTCGAAACCACAATGGGGAAAGTCACAATGTGGAAGGGATAACTGTACTCCCCTCACTGGAGATCATGAAACAAAGGCTGGATGACTCTTTAGTGAGAATGGTTATAGAGGGAATTCTTGAGCATGGATAGATTGGAGCATAGATCCCATGGAGTCCTTTCCAACTTTGAGATTTTGTGATAAAGAAGTACAACTACTTAGAAAAGGAAGCCAACTGACCCCAATGAATTGATGACAAATCTTTGATAATTGGTGACCTTTTCCAAAACAGAAAAGACAATTTGTGGAGCCTCAAGTCTGGTCCTAATTCAATAGGCCCATCTCCTGATCCCAGCCTCTTCATTTGTCTTTTTCCACTTTGTCTTCCAGTAACAATCTAAATTGTACAATAGTTGCTGATCTTCATTGGTTAAAAAAAAAACATTTGGAGCTTATTGAAGTATGTGATGTAAGATGCTGGAGTAAAACCATTTTCTGTCAGGCTAAGTTTTTACAGTGAGATTATTGCATATTTTGCAAGTGGTAAAACTTTCATAAGACCATGAAACCATGAAATTTCCCTCACATACAGCAGCTTGGAAATTCCTTTTCTGCATCTCTATCTGTGTAGATTTTTGTCTCACTGGGTTCCCATTAGATTATGCTTGGCCGTAGGGAAGTTGTTTTGTTTGTATGTATCCAGTAGGATTGATTAGGTAAATTATGGGTATTTGTTTGTTTGTGGGTATATGGGAGAAATCAATGGTCTGGCATGCTGCTGGTCAGCTCATGAAGGGTATGAGACAATGATGAAAGCAGATTCCAGTGTATTCTTGAGTCACTCTTCTCTTGAGATTCTAAACTGTTATGAAAGGGCCTAACTCAAGCCAGTGTCCTAATGGTTTAGATTCAGTGTTGGAATAAAACAAAACACTTATAGGTCATTCAACAGCTAACAAAAGGGGGTTAACTTAGTTATAGCATCAGAAGTATATTCAACACATGCAACCTCTAGCTTTGGTAGACTTGAATATGGAAATGCAACAGGTCAGCAGGGCAAGAGGTTGTACCTCATGCTTTCTTGAGATATCTGCCAAATCTGAAGGTTCCCCACTCCACATGGATGGGCCTTTTTATGCCCTTAGGTGACCAAGAAGTCTCATTAATATGGCCAGAGTCTACCAAGAACTGATGTTAAGGGAGGTGCAACATAATGAGCCTTAGTCCTCTGAACCAATCAAATCCCAAGGTCAGCTCTACCACCTTTCAGGGAAAAAACTAGTCTAACCTATGTAGTTTTGGTGTGAGGGAGGAGAAAGACCCTAAGAGAAGAAAGTAGTTCCCTCATAAAGTCACGTGCCCGCTCAAAAATCAAAGGTTGCCTATTGCCTATTGTATCCAAATTCACTGGAGGGCACTGAAAGCACTCCACCATCTTAATCTGATTTATCTTTCCAGTCTTATCTGTAGCTACTTTCTTTAAATTACTCAATACTCCTGACAAACAGGCAACTCTGTTCTCTAAACTTTTCCTGACCTTTCCCACCACTGTGACTTTACTCATGCTACTCCTTTAAATCTAAATGTTCATCTGCATCTGTTGAAATGCCTCCTCTTCTTCAAGGTCTATACTTAGAATCACAACAAAACTAATACAGTAGAATGAGGAAAGGACACCGTTGCCAAAAAAGAATACTGTCATAGATGCATAAGACAAACTATTATCTTACTTGCTTGCTCTTTCCCTTTGTAGTGCGATTCTCCTTGATTTCCCTGGCCAAGGAGTACTGTTAGGAACACCTTTCCCACTCATAAAACCACACCCTTGCATTTGGTCGCCCCCATGAACTCTGACTTGACTCAAGAAAACATCCTGTTTACTCTTTCAGAGCATAGCTTTAACCATTCCCACTTTCCTTAGAAACTTTCTTCCTCTTTAACCCTGCTATTTGTTTCTACTGGTGAGGTGTGATTGGTCCATTTTTCCCCTAGGAATAGGACAATTCAACCCCAGTGCCATCTCCTCCATGAAACTTTCCCCTTAGCCCAAAATATCCACTTAGGACCTCTCTCTACCTTTCTCCATGTCCATCTCTTGCTGGTCTCTTCTCCAAATTCCGGACAGCCTTCACTCTGGTTATATAAGAAAACACATTTGTTAAAATGGAAAATAATGAACTCCTTCTAATTAAAACTAGAAGGAGAAAATGCTGAGGAACAGTAAATACAATGACTCTATCTAGACTCTGACTCCTTTGCTGAGATTAATAGGTCAATTTTGTTTTGAATTGGTTTTTGGTTATTTGGTTGGTTTGGTTTATTTAGTGGGGGTGAGGGGAAAAGACTATTAAGCATACAAACCAAAGCTTCAATCCCTGATCTGATATAGACAATATTAGAGTTCCATGAAATTCTAGGTCCTTGCTTTATTGATGATTCAAGGATCAGATTTTGTGACAGCAACTGGATAAAGGAGACTCAAATTCCATGGGATTCCAGGAGACACCTCTGACAAAATTTGTAAGAAAGAAGGTATGTGGGAGTAGAGAGAAAAGGAAATAAGTAGGAGAATATTTGTTTTTATTTTTAAGAGCCTCACTCCCAATTTCCTAAACAGAACCAAGTCTAGACGTGTTTCCCATTTTAGACAACATCCTCAGAAACAAATCACATTCATTAAAACAAAACAAACTGGGGGTTGAGCCTTGGCTCAGACTTCAACCCAGAAATAGTATCATGTTTTTGAGTTGAGATTCTAACAGCTGATTTACAAGAAAGAGATGAACAAAGTTTGACATTGGCCTAAGAATGAATCATAGCTATTTCCATTGTGAGGAGAACCACAGATTGATAAAATGGGGAATGTTCTTTGGAGCCTGGGAGTGTATCAGGCATTTCTTCTGTTTTGTTCTCTCACCTCTTCAGTTTATAAACAAATGTATTTTGGGGTCTGAAAGATTATGTAGTCCAACTACCCAATCTTGCAAATTAAAAGAAAGTAAATTTTGTGGAAAGTAAATGGCTTGCTTTAAAATAACTAGAGTTATTTTATTATATTAACTAGAGTGCACGAAAAGGGCCCAGATACATTTCCAGAGATTTCTCACTTCTCTGGTTTATTGCAACATCCAGACAATCTATTCCCCTAGGAGGAGGAGGAGGAGGAGGAGGAGGAGGAGGAGAAGAAGAAGAAGAAGAAGAAGAAGAAGAAGAAGAAGAAGAAGAGGAGGAGGAGGAGGAGGAGGACAAGGAGGAGGAAGAGGAGGAGGAGAAGAGGAGGAGGAGAGGAGGAGGAGGAGAGTAAGAGGAGGAGGAGGAGGAAGAGGAAGAAGAACAAGAACGAAAGAAAGAAGAACAAGAAGAAGAAAAAGAACAAGGAGAAGAAGAATAGGAAGAACAAGAAGAAGAAGAAGAAGAAGAAGAAGAAGAAGAAGAGAAGAAGAAGAGGAGGAGGAGGAGGACAAGGAGGAGGAAGAGGAGGAGGAGGAGAAGAGGAGGAGGAGGAGAAGAGGAGGAGGAGGAGAAGAGGAGGAGGAGGAGGAGAGAGGAGGAGGAGGAGGAAGAGGAAGAAGAACAAGAATGAGAAGAAAGAAGAACAAGAAGAAGAAAAAGAACAAGGAGAAGAAGAATAGGAAGAACAAGAAGAAGAAGAACAAGAACAAGAACAAGAACAAGAAAAAAAGAAAAATTATTCTCTGCTCTTGCATGTCCTTCCTGGGAGATAGCAAATCTCTGAGCTGAGTCCCTGAGGGACAGAACACAGGAGACTTCTGCCAAATCCTAGGTTAAGGGTGTCTGCTTTTCCTGAAAGAGTATGACTGTCCAAGGATTGCAGCTGAGCCTGACTGGATGTTGTACACTATCTGAAACTGCCTATGAAGGAGCAAATCCAAAGAGTCCAGAGAATGGACCTATCTAGAAGATGAGAAGATGAGACCCAGCTAACACAGGCTCCAGAGGTGACCTTCATGATGACTCTACAAAGGGAGAAAGGATATCTAGGCCCTGTGGTTCCAGAATTGTGAGTAGTCTTAACCACATATGTCCCCTACATGAGTACATCAACAACATTTTACTCTGAGTGTAAGCCTATTTTTCCCATGGATGCTGCATGTATTTTAGGGGCAGGGTGCCCCAGACTTATTGAGGAATGTTTTTGTAATGTCTTTTCTTGCTATGCCATCTGAGTAAATGCCTTTATTAAGAGTTAAATAAGAACACTGACTAGACTGCTAATGGGAAAAACATTGGTGGGGATTCATGAGGTATGGTATTAGGAGTACAACCTAAAATCTGAGAAGCCAACCCTGTGGAGACCCAAACTACCAGTTCAAGTGAAGTTGGGTGAGTGTCCCAAAGGAAAATCTACATTTACTTTAAAAATATTCACTCCACCCTTTCCCTTCCACTTCCTTCTTTTTCAGTTGTGATGACTACATTCAAGGAAAACATTTCCTCCTCCCCTTCTCCACATTGAAGTTATTTTTTTTCTATTCTGTGGAATTTGCCCATCTGATCAAATCTACTATTTCCTTGATCTCCCTCTTGTAAAATAGGACATTAAAGAAACTGAAGGCTTTCTGAACATAACAGATATCCATTCATTGTTTTAAAATTAGTTTAATTTGACATAGTTCTGCTTCATGGATGATTTACATATCAAAGACCCACAGAGACTTGGTTTTCTCTGTTGAAATGCCAAGGATTATTCTGTTGAGTTAATAAAACATCTTTTCTTTTGAAAGATATACTCAGTTTTGCTGAATAGATAATTTGGAAATGAAGTCTGTTTTTTCTTGATTTGGGGTACATTAAATTCCAGTTTTTTCTGACTTTTTTTTGTCTCAGATGAGAAATTTTGCTCAATTTAGATTGGTCTATTTCTTCCTTATTATAACTCTATTGCTGAAATATTGGAGTTTAATGACCATATGACGGATGAGTTTGTACTGAGATTCATGTAGATAGCCTTTAAGGTCCCTTCTAGCTCTAAATCTATAATTCTGTGACCTCTCTTGGTGTTCTGAGTGTGCTGGGTGTACCTAGGCACACAATAATTTCTCCCTTCTTCCAAAAATATGTTGTTCATTTTATGTTTATATTTTGAAGTAAAGTTTAGTTGTTAATTTCAAAAAGCTAAATTTACTTATTTCAATTTCTTTATTTGATGAACAAAAATAGTGTCTTTATGACTATTAAAATAAATGTTTGACCTTAAAAAAATTCTCTGGATGCACATCCTAATGAAATATGCTACTCCCACTTGTGTTGGTATTCTGTGGTTTCTGTCAAGAAGCTATACTTTATCCCTTATTTTCAGTACTTCTGGGAAATTCTTTTGTGTGATTTCCTGGAATAAGGCATTCAGACTTTCTACATTTTTTCCCCCCTGGAAGAAAAAACTTCTCATATTATCTATTTGAGCTCTGACCTTTAGTTGTTACCTTAATTTGTATAGCCTTCTCAAATCTTTCACTTTGTTGACTTCTTATTTTGTTTAGCTACTTCTATAAGCCCCAAACAAGGGGAAAAAAATCTAGTTTTTCTGTCCTTGTTTTTCATCAGGACAACTCTATGTCTATTTTATTAAAATCCTCCAAAAATCTATTCAGCATATTGAGTCTCATAATTATCTTTTAATTTCATCTTTAGAGATGTCAAATATTTATTTATATGTCTTAGTGAATTTATTTATACTAAAATACGTTGCAATAGAATGACTTTCATTTTTTGTAATCCTTGCTTATATTATTTCATTATTTTTTTCTTTCCAGTGTCTTCTGTCAGGTTTCTTTTAATCTGTGATATTTATTTATTATGTTTAAGCTTTTATTTTTTTTTCCTTGCTCACTTTTAAATTTTCTTTCCCTCCCTTTTCCTGCAAGGTGACTTTGCTCTCACAGTTTTTGGTTCTTCTTTTACTTTATTTCATGTATTTGTTGCTGGTTTTGAAATGCTAAATTGAAATTAAGTTCTCTGAATCACCTCATTCCATCATCCTGATAGGCTCTCCTAATGACATTCTTTTTTCTTTTTCTTTTTAGTGAGGCAATTGGGGTTAAGTGACTTACCCAGAAACAGCTAGGAAGTATTATGTGTCTGAGGCCGGATTTGAACTCAGGTCCTCTTGACTCTAGGGCCTGTGCTCTATCCACTGCACCACCTAGCTGCCCCCCAATGATATTTTAAACATGTGCTATAGAGGCTATATACTAGCTCCACTGCTGGCCTCTATATTCCCAGTATATTTACTGAGGTGTGATTGAACCAGGCTTCTCCGGAATAGTTTATACTCAGGCTTGTCATTCCCCAGCTAAAGAAACTGTCCCTAAAAGAAACTGAAAACTCCAGAACATAGCACTTAATGTCCTTCTATCATTATCTAACTTATTTTTCTAGGCTTATGTCCTACTGACATGTATTTGCAGATTAGATAGATAGATAGATGGATAGTTATAGATGTGTAGATACGCACACACATACTGTATAGAGTAGTGCCTAGAAGGGTAGGCTTAGATTAAGGAACACTTGGTTCAAATCCATTTCCAACACGTTTGGCTATGTGACCATGGCAAGTCACTTAACTTCTAGTGTCTCAAGCAGTTTCCTAGGATTTCGGGTTGCAATTTGTAATTGTGGAATTGCCTACACTGAATAATTCACAGATCCTTTATGTATTCTAGTATATTTCTGTATAAGGTATAATATATACTTATACATATATTTTAAATATATAGATTTATGCATACATATGTTCATTTCAACAGGCATTTGTTCAGTACCTCGCATCTACAAGGCACTGTGCTAGGCATTAACAGGGTTAGAAAAATGAGTAGATATTTTCATTTTCCAAAAGGGGTTTAAAATATATTATGATAAGACAGGAACAAAAATAACTATAAAGAAAATTAGACTACAATAAGTCCATAGACTTGGAAGATAAGTGGTATCATATAAAGAGGTCTGGAATTTGACATTGGAAGACTTTCATTCATATCCCAGCTATGCCACCTGTCACTTGTGTTACCTTCGGTAAGTTACTTCCATTCCTTGGGCTGCAACCTTGTCATCTATAAAACGAAATGGCTGGACAAGATGACTTCTAGGATTCCTTCAAGCTTTAAATCTGTGAATCTGCAGTAAGTGGTACCAAAAACAAAAAAAGGCTAATAGAGATGAAAGAAGTGAGCAATTATTACCAACTTTGGAAACAGGGGTAGAAAGCTATATAAATTATCGTTGTAAATAATAATTTATTTTGTTCTATGTATACATAAATCTTTAATTGCCTTGAAATTAGAAGATACATAATACCATATTTGGTAGTAAGCAACATGATGCAGATGGGAAACATCTATAATTTTTAGAGGGTTAAATAACTTCTTCCTGATCATGAAAACTAGTATGTATCAGAAGCAGGATTTGAACCCACATATTCCTAACCACATTTCCTTTAGTAATAGCAAATATAATTATAAAATGTCAGGGATTTTCCTAAAGAAATGGTTAGTATGGTCCTGAGTATCTCTTTACTTACGGGAAGTTCACAGGAAACCCCTTAAAGGTTGTTATATTGGCATGTTCTTGGAATAATTAAGACAATCAAAAAATCATATGGAAATCATTTGTAGCAGTTTAGATTTCCAAATCCATCCAAGTTAGCCAATGCTGTTATTTCCTTTTCGTGAAGGAGAAAGACATGCTGGCAGGAAGATCAGTTGATGGTCTTTCTTTTTTTTTCTTAAATCATTGAGTCTGGACAGGAAATGAACCCAGTCAGATGAACTTCATCTGGTCCTAAAGGTAGGGGTCAGCCAGGGACAAAAACTTAACACAACCAGAATTGAAGGTAGAAAAGTCCAAGTGATGTCAACATTGCCAGAGGACCTAAGGTCAAATTTGGTCCTCCAGCTGTTCCAGGAACAGTTTGACTTATGCACCTAATTTTCCATTTCACTTATTTCTGGCACTGACCATGTGGTGTTTAAGCACTGTTACTCTCAAGAGTCCCACAGTAATGAATTCAGCCAAAATCTGAATCCAAGTTCCTCTTGGCTCCCCTCAAACTCTCTTCTGACACATCTTCAATAATTCTCAGATGCCTGAATGTCTTTATCAACTGAGTCCACGATGAAAGTATTAAAACTTTAAAAAAAAAAATACAAACCGTCTCTTAGGAAAGAGATTAAGGACACAAGCCAGTAACTGAAAAAAATACAAAAAGGAACAGAAGTCTCTGCATGCCCACCTCTCTGTCTCAGTTTCTCTCTCTATTCTTTCCCTCCCTTCCTTTTCCTGGTAACTAACATCTTTATATGGCATTCCAGAACACAGAAGCTCACAATATCTTCCTTTTTTTAATCAGAAAATGTGCTTAGTTTCAGACTGTTTCTTTCCTGGGTTTGACTTTGTTGGGAAGCAAGAAAGAGAAGAAGCAAGAGAGAAGCAGAGAAGGGCCAGGGTACTCAGTATATATTGATTGAATCTTACCAACTTAGGTTTGACTAAAAAAAAAAGTTTCTCTACAGAGCATCCAAAATAAGCAGCACATTTCCCCTAGTTATTCCTCTGCTGAAACTTTTAGCTTTCTCATTCTTCACAGGTTAGATGTTGGTTATCATATCAACTTCTGGCTGCAATTGCATCTCACGGGCACCAGTTCACTAGGTTGGTTACATGAGGTCATCAGCGTATACAATTCATCCACTAGGACAGGTCAGACCTCCCTCTTTACCTTCTGTTCAATTTCAGTCCATATTTTCTCCATTAATCTTTCATAAGAAAGAAGGAAACAGGGGCTGCTACGTAGCACAGTGGATAGAGCTCCAGCCTTGGAGTCAGGAGGACCTGAGTTCAAATCCAGCCTCAGAGATTTGACACAGACACTAACTGTGTGACCCTGGGCAACTCACCTAACTCCGCTTGCCTCATAACAAAAGAAAGAAGGAAACAAGCATTTAAAAAGACCTACTACTTACCTGTGTTGAGTACTTTGCAAATATTTGTAAGTTTACAAATAAA